TTGAAATAATGCATGTAGAGAAGTTCAATTCAAACTTATACTTAAAACTAGCCGTGTTCCAGTGATTTCAAATATAATTGCTAATGTTTTGGTGTGCAATTTTAACATTTTTATGCTCAAATTTGTTGTGACCATCAAACTACAAATTTCTGGTTTTGTCATGCATAATAAAATAAACGAACAATTAACAAATGATTCAAAATCACATATAGTTCGACTGTTAAGGCAATAAAAGCTATAGAAACTAGAACAATGTATAAACGAACAATATTTTACTCATAGAATGAGTAACACCAATATATGTTCAAAATCACATCAAATTTGAATAAATCCAATCCCAAAAACTAGTTAAAAATTTATGCATGGGGAACAAGCACTTGTGCCAATGCTTACAGACCTTATTAACTTTAATAGTGTGAATAAGCGCACAATTTTGCGATATAAATCTGTATTTCTAGATCATTATTACTTTTGAAAAACCAGAAGCATGTTTGTTTATAAGTAAAACAACTTTGATTTTTTTCATAAAGTTTATACACAACTGCTGGCAACAATGACGTTTAGAGTGTGGTATTTTTCCTTTAGACGTAAGACGAAAAACGACATATACATTAACCCCAAATTTTATTTCATTAAAGTCTCTCAGTATACTCAATTTCAGCCATTCTGTTCCAATTTATCTCCAGAGTAGAAGGCCTGCCGTATCAATCATATTGGATTCGAAAACGTCGTATTTCTAATATAATACCCAAGGCTTATGTGGACACAACCATACGAGTAGGCATAAAATTTGACCCAAAGTCATTTTTTTTTTATTAATGTTATTAAACTTTTCACTTTAAATATTCTTTTGAATTGTCATGTAATTGAGTATTCTGAGAGAAATCATTTGATGAAATAAAATTTGAGCCAGAATGAGTTTCAATTGATATCAATTTTTATTAAACTTTTACTCGAATTTTTTTTAAATGTCTTGAGTATATACAAAGATAAATCATTTCATGAAATAAAGTTTAGGGCGAACATCCTCTTCGGACATCATTGTTGCCAAACCCTTTAAATGTTATTTTACATCAGTAGGATACTATTTTTCGAAAAGTAACAATTGCCCAAAAATACAGACTTAATTGCAAATTTTCCAACCCAATCTTCCACAGTACTATTCAGCCCCGACCACGGACACTGCTTTTTTATTATTTTCCCCGAAGTTAAAACCAGAACATCGTGCGAAAAAAAATCCGTGTGCACGCCGTATTTATACATATTAGTTATTCATTTAAAATTGACACACATCGTGTGCGTACCGATTGTACGCAACCCCAGCATAGCAACTTATTAACATACAGAGTGTTTTCCTGGCGAGGGTGTTCAGGAACAAATCTGGATCGAAATTAATACATATTTATTTTTTCAAAAGCGAGTTTGCTCCTTAACAAACCAACATAAAAACACTCTACCCCTGGCGGTCTTTTCATTAGAAATGCCGTATTTACACTTAATGTGTTGTAAATGTAGTAACAACTTGAATCTGAAGGCTTTGTCAGAAACGCAAAACCCAGATTCAAATTGCAAAATGGCAACGTTTCGTGCGAGTATATATTGCGCAGTCTCGACGCCTCTAAACTGTCTATCTCCCTAACTGTTTTGCGCACGCGACGGACTATATTATCCGCATGCAACCGCCCTGAAAAGGAATATCTCTGAAGGTATTGAACCGCAATGACCGCCATAAGAGAGGGGACCTAGTCACTTGGTAGCGGACTGTTTTTTCATGAAGTAAGACCGGCTACCAGGAAAATGCATGCTTTACCTTACTACGGGAGAGAAAATGTTTTAAAAAACTTTGCCACCATAATTGTCTTATTCTCGCCAATCCAAACGACCAACATGATTTCCACCAAGTCTTCTTACGGGTACCATTTGCACCCTCTAAGCTATGGGTACCATTTGTACCCCCTAAACCCAAGACAAACGATGCCAGTTTTTTGAAAAAGGTTTACATAAGGAAAGTGACAAATTTCTTTTTTACTAACGAGCGATAAGATATTGGGCTATTCCAATTATTATCTGCACCCCCCCCCCCCTGTTCAGGAACCTTGGAATTTCCAGGGGAGAGGGTGCACTAACTTTCAAATTTTCAGGCGAGGGGAACATTAACCTTGGAATTTCCAGGGGAGGGGGTGCATTAACCCTGGAATTTCCAGGGAAGGGGACTTCAGGCTCTGGAATTCCAGGGGAGGACTAATTCTCACATGGAATTTCCAGAGGGAGGAGTAAATTTAATGGATGGAAATTCCATGGGAGGACATATATATTAGACGGAAATTTCCAGGAGTAAATGTCCATGATGGAAATTCCATAGGGAGGGGTAATTTACACATGGAAATTCCATGGACACGGCCAAATTTTGAATGGAAATTCCATGGGGAAGGCCTAATTTAAAACGGAAATTCCATGGGCAAGGGTAATTTTTACAAGGAAATTCCATGGGAGGGGGTTAAATTTTACATGAAAATTTGCGGAAATTCCAGGGGAGTACCGACGACAAAGAATCAAACAGCAATTTCCAATCGTCGTTCAAAACTCTGGCAAAGCTTTTCTTGTACACATCCTGCCTCATGACCCTGTCTAAACTGTTGCGTTGCTGCATTTGTAATGCGTTTGCACCAAGACAGTATATTTACACAGAGGGAAACAATGGTAACATAAACGAATCATTAGAATGTTCTCTCTTTTCAGATCCTTTTTCAAATTCAGAAGCTGATGAATTTCGAAAGTACAGTTTTTGCAAAGAAAATCATCGTTATAAAACTTTCGTTCAGGCTATCAATAGATCGAATGTGTAAATATACTGAACATTTAGACCGCCAGGATTTATGCCGGATTTCATTGTAGCCAGAACAACAAAACAAACAATGGCCTGGGTACAAGTATCTACAGCCTGTTCGCAGGCAAACAAGAAAGAACAGTACCTGAAAGTAGACATTTCTGTGACCTTTGTATATCCATCAACTGAATATCCATTACGGGGCCATATTTATCCACCACAGTCTCTTTGTATCCATTTAGTAGTCACAATTCATCAGCATGTTCAGTAATGATCTGTAAAACAAAGCAAAAAATCAATAATTAATTCAGATATAAAAATTAAACCTGATGCATGCTCTACTTGAGTATTTTACTGTCCAACGTCAGACAATTTTACGCTTCATAATCAGAATGCCCATGTGTCTAGTTACCCATTAACTGCCAGTGTGCCCCCTGCTTAATAAAATTGTCTGACATTAGACAGAGTTAAATAATATAAGTAGGTAAATTAGGGTGCAAATCAATTTAATGGCTAAATGTGCTGTTTACATGATCCCAGTTTGTCAGGACAGGATGAAAGGTGGGACGATTTTCATGCACTGAAATAAGTCACTAGGCTTGAAGCATAGCTAAGATGATTATTGCTGCTTGATCCAACCACCTTTCGTTACAATTATAACTATAAGTCTACAACTAGAAATCAAAACAATTACTTTCAAATGATGATAAAAACATGAATTGGAATATTTTGTAAAATTGAAAGGTGACACAGGATATTTTTGGAAAATTCTTAAATTGCACAAGCCTATGATTGGTTGATTAGAATCATGTTTTTTTTAAAAAATTTTATCAGTTGGATAATGTACAAATAGGTATGCATTAGTAGTTTTTATACATAACGTAAATAGACATAGATTAGCAAGACTTTTTATTATATGGATATGGGTATTGTGAACTAAAACATTCGTATTAATCATACGCCACTACATCCAGGAGTTGAGTGGCATATTTTCCGTATGTACATAACATTTCCCGCCTTTGTCATTGTTGTTTTGAAAATACAAATGGTCTTTGGTTCGTAATCTTCGTATTTAAAACGAAATTAACGTTGGAAATAAAACGAAAACATTTAAAAGACATCTTGAGATAAGTAAAATTTATTCTAGTTTTATGTTTGCACTATAATTTTAAAAAAATAACGCTTCTTTCGCGTGCTTATTTACATGTCGTCTTTGTGTGTATTTTTGTCACACTGAGTAAGTCCATATAATAAACAGAACTTAAATGGTTGCGGGAAGATATGGATTTATGTTCAGGCACGGATTTTCTGGGGGGGGCACCCCCCCCAGAAATGATTTGCACCCCCCCCCCAAAGGCATTTGGCATCCCCGCAAATTACATATATTTTGATTTGATAGTTTCATATTTGATTATTCTTGCTACTAAATTTGTAAAATTACCAATATTATGGTCTCAGATCTCGCCATGCAGGCCTAGAACACAAATTTTGTTAATCAGAACCCCCCCCCCCCCAGATATTTATCCACCCCCCTCGAACGAAAATACGAAAATCCGTCTCTGTTTATGTTCTTGTGTCAAAAACAATATCTCACTCATTCACCTGTGCTCACTTGTGAGATATTGTTTTTGCCACTTCAATATAAAATCCATATCTCTTCGCAACCGTCTAATATCCTATATATATTTAATTAATGAATGATATGTAAATAAATAGAATATATAACATTTTTATATCCAAATATTGTAAACACATTGTAAATAAATTAGCACTAATAAACCATTACCATAAAAACATGAATTGGAATATTTTGGTCAAATCGAAAGCGGGGAACACAGGATATTTTTGAAAAATTCTAAAATTGCCCAAGCCTACTCCAAACTTTCTGAAAATTGTCCAAAGGAACCACAGGTAACCGTACCTGGGGTGTAAAAAAATACCTGTGGTTCCGGTGCCATATCGCAAAAAAAATTTTAGGGTCGGTAAGTCGGAATTTTTTTAAAAATATTTTTCCAATAATTAGTGTGACAACAGACACCATTTTGGCAGCAACCACCTGGACAAAATAGGGTGGGTCGGGAACCGGAACCACAGGTATTTATTTACGCCTAGGCTAATCAAAGGGAGAACCACAGGATATTTTTGAAAAATTCTAAAAGTGAGACCACTTAAAAACTGACCTTTCAAGTACTTCCTCTGCAAATCCAACTGAATAACACATGTAAACATGACAGCATAACCTCAGAGAAATTTTTCCAAGGATACATTCAATTGCCTTGTACACATTGTTGGTGTAGTTTCATTGTCAAGCCAGGTAGTTGAATTGCTGTTCTCTAAGATAAATAGGATTAACTCATTAAGCTGCAAAGGAACTCAAATGTCTGATATCAGATCATTTTACTCTTCAAGAGAAAGTCTTGTACCTCGGATGGTCCCATGCAACATGCTTACAACTTGAGTTGCACTGTGCAAATCAAGCACACAACCTCCCTACGTTGTCGCAAGTGAGTGTAAATCAGTCTGGAGGTGGTTCCCCACCATGGTTTTATCCCCCCGGGGGTTATGTTCTTCATATATATATATATGTACATGTAGTATCATGTGTAACTCAAGGAACTTCAAAATACAAACAGGCATGGCACTGTGTGAAAATATTTTTTCAAACAAATCTATGAACTTTGTTTTGGTTAACCCTTTAAGTTGCATTGCACCCCGACGCACCCTACTTTAGTATTTTACTCTGTCTAACGCCACATGATTTTACTTGTCAAGTGGAGAGTGCTGCCACTCGATGGGTGAAAAGCATAAAAAGAGTTCTAAAATCCACAACAATACTTCATGGGCACGAGCCGTGCAATGTTTTAGAAAACAATAATCTAAATCTTGACGTTTTTGACAGCCATATGGTTTGTGCAACAATTTTGTCAAAAATAGGATGCTGGATGGTATATTATCAGCAACATAAGCTTTAGTATTATTAGGGACCACTCATTATTTATTGTACAGGGGGGATTGAGGAGAAACTGGGGGGCCTTTATTTTTTTTTAATGTAACAAAACAACTTAACAACAAATAACAGTGTTTATAGACATTTAACATTCATAAATGGAAGCCAAATAAAAAGTCTCTTATGTTCATGTAAATAGACAATTCCCATTATAGACTAATTTTAGAACTAGGCAAAGGGATGCAAATCAAGGCATGAATTTGGGGAAAATAGTAGGGGAGGTGGAAAAAATTTTAGGGGAGGTGCAGCGGTCTAGCTCACAACCCCCATGTAAAGTTAGGGCTTATTGTACAACAGGTAAGCATGTAGTGTACATATATACCAGTATTAATGAATTATGACTGTATGACTCCAATCTCGATCACCCTTCATTACAATTGCTACAAAGTTTCTTTCAAAACATTGCATTAAAAGGGTACTTGACACAGAGATGAATGGCTATCACTGTTTCAATTTTACAGAGAAAACTTTCTTACGTCATGAAGTGTAGATCCTAAGCAACCATCACATTTTCACTTTGTTCCATCGTTGAAACTTTCCCAAGGGGAGGTGCAAAAATTCTCAGGGGAGGTGCGCACCTCTCCACACCTCCCCTCAAAATCTGGCCTTGATGCAAATAAATCACCATAGCTACAGAAAATATAGCCTTGCAAATTTTGTATACTTTTGTATTGCATGTAAAAATTGCAATGTAAAAGTATACAAAATTTGCAAGACTATATTTTCTACATTTTACAACATTTCGCAACCAAACTTTGCAATTTTATTAATTTTAGTATACCCTTCCTGGGAATATACTTTTTTGCTAAGGATAAAAAAAGTCTATAATGGGAATTGTCTATTGGTCCCCATTATCTATTTTTGTTTCTCTAAATAAAGAGCTAGAGTTTTTGTTTCTCTAAATAAAGATACAAAGATAGAGTGGGGCGGGACCAAAATTAATAAAAAGCAGGGGGGGGGCTTTGAAAATTTTACTTGTCTTAAGAGGGAGGCAACGAGAAATATTATAATTGTAGAGTTTCTCCTCAGTCTCCCCCTGTACAATAAATTATGAGCAGTCCCTTAGTGATGAATTAAGTCATTTCATCAGCAATGACATATTGAAATTTTCTTAGCCCAATCATCACTTTACAAAGGATGACTGTATCCCGAGTAGGGTTGGACGATATTAAAAAATCTTCTCATGCTTATTGTCAAGGAAATTATCACGATATTCGATAATATCGCGATAAATGCAATAAAAACAATGGCCACATTTTTCAATTTTAATTATATCAAAGCATAGTAAGCTTATATATAATCTTGTTAAAAACAAGTAAAACAACAAATCAAAGTAATATGAAGGCTTTCTCTAGTCTAATATTTACTGCTCATAAACCAGAATTGAGAATTGTCTATACTGTGTCTCCCCTGGCACAAATGCTGTGTATTTCATTGCAATTTCATTGTTCAGCGGATTGATACATAAATATTAGCTTTTGAATCGTATTAAGGTGGCTCCCTAGGGTTTTATTTCCAGGGTTACATTCTTCGTATATATGTAAACTAAAATACAAACAAACTGTAACGTTGTGTTTTATATGGAACTCTTTTTTGAAACAAAAGTGTCAACTTTGCTTTAGTTGAAAGCATAAAAGAATTCTAAAAGCCCAAACAACACTTGGATGTGATGTTTCAAAAGAAGATAATGTAAACTTTTTTTCAAGCGGTATTCTGGATGTTTTTTGAACCGCCGTACGCGAGGTTCGATCGCAAACGTTGGGATATGATATAAAGTTTCCTCAAGAATTTGCAGTGTTTTCTCCACAATCTAGCAGCACTTATGACAATAAAGATGACTTAAATAATGAGCCCTCTACGGGTGAAATGAGCAGAGCCGAAACTCCAAACATACCACTATAAAAACTGAAATTTGAACGGGCATTTTGCAAAAACATCCAACGATAGTACTATAAACTCGCACGGGACGAATTTTGACAAACATTTTTTTCAAATACCAAGAAGTCATAACCAGTAATTACTTAAATATCTTTGCAATTTTTACATGTATAATCCACACTTAGTTGACCAGTAACCGACACACTAGCCTACTTTCTCTGAGAGCCGCTACGCAGGCTACCAACACAGTTATAAACATTATATCAATTCAAACATATTAATTTATATTTTGTGATTTCAAAAAAGTCATGCCTTGTTGTTTTATGCAGAATGCATGTACACGTCAATTGGGGTAAATTGTTCACGTAAAAATTGCCAAAATTAAACACAAATTTTTCTCTGGTTTCCTTCAGTAAAATTTTTTTTAAACTTTGCACATTTTTTGTCGGCACAACAACTGCAATATCCTTTTTTCTTAAAATTAAATCAAAGGAAAAATTTTAAATATTGATTTTTGACGTTTTTTAAATTTTCTAAGAAATGTATCGATTTAATTTTTTTCAATTGAGGGGAAAAAATTATTATACAAGTATTATCTTTTATTAAAGTATTAGAAAATTTCAAAGTATTAAAAAATTTTAAAATGACCTGAAAGACATATTTTGAACTTTATTCTAAGCATGCTGTTGCCATGGCAACATATTTTTAACACAAAAGTAGCAATTTGCAATGTTCAGGAGAACATTGTCAATGTGTCCAATAAATTTCGTTTTCATGCCATGTAAAGTAAAGAAACAGGAGTCTCCTGAATACTTTTGTGTAGTAAATTAAAAAACCCTAGAGAGCCACCTTAAATTCGTATTACATTCAGGAAATAATTTTAATTCTTTTAAAAACTATATTTTCTAGGAATTGAAAGAATTTTTTAGGATTTTATAAAAGATATATACACATGCGAAGCAATATAATGATAGTCATCGAGCATGACGATAATTTCAATATATCGTCGCTCAAGTTTCTACCTTCAACATGATAATCGCGAATGAAAATATCGCGAATGAAAATATCGCGATAAGTCAAAATATCGAAATATCACCCAACCCTAAACCCGGGTGTCCCAAAAATTGCAATGTTTGATTTAATTAAATAAATGTAACATAACGTCCCAGAACAAAATGTCGAATGCTAAAGGCCATGTTACACGGTGTAATTTTTCTTGCAACTTGCAATGCAATTCTACTCTTGAGAGATGTTAATTAGTAAAATCTGTGAAGAATTTTCGATATGTTGAGAAAACATCAGCGGAGTGTAGTGAAAACTTGTATTTGGTAATTTTACATCTCTCAAGAGTAGAATTGCCTTGCAAGTTGGAAGAAAAATTGCACCATGTAACATGGCCGCAACTGACTTGCTATAGTCAAATTTGACTAACTTGCTAAAATATCAACATTTCACATCAAATTGATAGAAACAGAACATACCTTAATGTCTTTAGCTTCGGATGTTATGCTTGATCTTTAATGTACTTCTTTTCACAAAAAGGCAAGGACTTCAAGTAAACTACACCAGGACGGCGAAATAAAAGCTACAACACACCCTAAATTTAAAAAGATAAATTTGAATACAATTTACTCTGGAATGCTATTTCTCTTTTAGCATAAAAATACAGACTTCTGATTGGTTGTGGGTATTTACAAAAGAATCTCCCTGATTGGTCAATAGATTGAATGCAGCAAACAAAATTATTTTCCCAAATGTATAATTTCTATTTCAATAATTCCCTAAGGAAATTTAAATCTTATCGGCATACAAAATATTATTCAGAATTTATAATTCCCATGCCGCATTGGCATTTGTAAAAAGCAAAGGTCCACAGGAAACCTAGGAGGAAAGTGCCTCAAAATCTTCAAAATGTTCTGAAAATTGTCAAGAAACATTTCTCTCATCATCAAAACAATTAGCTTAGACCAGTAAAAATGTTTTAAATTTTCCCAAAATTCATCAAGTGCCCCAAAATCTTACAAACTTTCTGAAAATTGTCAAGAAACATTTCTCTCATCAAAACAATTACTTCCAGTCAATAAAAACATGTTTTAAAAATTTGTATAATAAAATGCAAAGGGCCACAGCAATTACCCTAGGCGGCTTGGGGGGAGCACCCAGGGTGCATTCCATGTAAACTATATACGCCATTAGTATGAATTTTGCATATGAAATGAGCTTTCGCACATTCTGATTGGCTAACAGACTAGTAAATGCTTTTCAAAAATAATATTTCGGCAAATTTGTTTTCAAAATATTGAAAAAATCGTCCCCAGAAAACAAAAGAAGTACAAAATGTTGTATTTATCTTGAAAATGTTGTATTCATCTTGAAAGGTAGTATTCCTTATTATTTTACTGTGTCAAACATATTCACAGACAATATAAAACTTATTTAAAACTCTGAAACATTTACTTAGCAAAAACAAATAACAAAAACTCTCCCGACTAATGGGAAACACCTTGCCATGATATGCTTTTAAATCCATTTTTTTATCCTACAGATTTCTCAATTTGTACGATACTATTTCTTTTAATATGTCATGTTTTCATTGTGTTGTATGTTGTTCTGACCACTGCATTGTGTTTTCGAAACGTGTTTAAAAGTGTTATTAAAACTTTATTTCAAACGATATAGTTTTACATTTTATTTTACCAAATTTCTCAGCCATTTCTAAACAGAAACTATGTTTTAATTCTATAAAGTCTGTTGAAAACGTTATTCTGTTATTGTGCTTGTATTCTAAGCAGAAATCAAGGAAAACAACTTTGTAATAAAGTAACAAAAAAGCCATTTTGAAAGTATATGCACACAAGAAATACTGCAACACTATAATTAAGCCGGTTTTCCACATCGCCCGTATCATACTGAAACATACTGGTGAGCATGTGCAGATTGAAAAGAGGTTTATAAACCATTTACTTCCGGGTGGATTTGCATATCAAAATAAAAAGTTTGTTGCAAGTCAACTTTTTTGGCATACTTTGGAAGTACTAACCAATCAACATTCAAGAAATTCAAGAACTTTTTCATATGTGTTGGTATGCTTGAAATGGAAAACCGGCTTTAGTCACAATTATAGGCCGAAAAAAGTTTTATTTCTGAATTTTAATTGAGCTGATACTTGGATATATTGTTTTATTCAGTAAAAATTTATACTAAAACAATTATTCGCCCCAGGCTCAGTGCCTCGACTTTGTCTCGATGAATATTTATCATTTATAGACCCGGAGCGAGAGGGATTCGGCGGAATATTACCCATTTCCCGAGGAAATATCATCACTGTCACAGAGGGTAATATTTCTCCAAATCCCTGAGCGGAGGGTCTATAAACAATATGTATATATGTTATCATGTATATCATCTTCAACACTCGAAATAAATCTGGTATTTCTGCGCACCATGAATATATTATTCTCTATATCTCACGCTGCATTGCAAAATCATGAATTTGAGTGAAATACTGTAAAAAATCACATTGTCACGTGGTACAAATTTTTTTCATTGGGCAATTTGAATTTGAGGTATAATATTCACAGGTAATCACTTTCCCTTAGGGGAATAATTGTTTTAAATATTTATTTAACTATAGATAGTATTGTAATTTGCCAAACTAATGCCAAAGATCTTCAGCGTATTGCACTTAAAATGCACCCTGGGGCAGCACAAGAAATGTTCTCTCATCAAAATAATCACATTCAATTGACCATTTGCGTAAGACTAAATTTTGATCTAGACAATACAATAGCCCGATACGCTTTGAGGCTGTCAATTTCCCGTTTGTAATCTAAAATGACTGAAAATTGCAAACTTCGCAAGGCTATATTATCCACATTTTACAAAATTTCGCAACGAAACTTTGGAATATTACCAGGGCTCGAAACTTGCGGTATCCCGATATCCACGGGATATCAGATTTTAAATTTTGGATACTGGGTATCATAAGCTCGGTATCCCAACTGGATACTGGATTTTGGCAGAATATTTAAAAAAAAACATTTCACAAAAGGCCTGGTTAAGTTGCAAGGTAAAATTTTGCCTTGCTTAGATACTGGAAATAGAATATCTAGTATCCAAATCTGGGATACTATATTTCAAGGATGGATACTAGATATGATGCTGGTATCCACTTGGATACTGACAAAAATTTCAATTTTCGAGCCCTGATATTACTAATTTTGTGATGCTCTTTCAAGCTGTGATGAAATATATGTCTAGTTGTTGAGATCAAAATTTTGTCTATTACGCAAATGGTCAATTGATAAAAAACAGTTTTGAAAAATTTGGATCAAATGCAAAGAGAGACCGCAGGCAAAAATCAAGATCTAGGCTGAGCACTGAGGAGGTGGACCACAGGAAATTTTCAAAAAATTCAGAGTTAGAATGTTTAGAAGATTGGTATCAGATCATTTCCCACCCAAAGGCATAAAATAAAATACCTGTGGTTCCGGTTTCATATCGCGAAAAATTTAGGTCGGTAGGTCGGAAAATTTTTTTTCATGTTTTTTTCAATAATAAGTGTGACAACAGACGCCATTTTGGCAGCAGCCCGCAACCACCCGGAGAAAATAAGCTTGCATGGTCAAATCACGTTGAAAAAATAATAGGGTTGACAGAAAAAAATAGGGTCGGTCAGGAACCAGAACCACATGTATTTTTTACACCAAAGTAGTTTCTTTCGCCCCCAAGTCGTTTCGCCCCCAATAGGCAATTGGTTTGAATTTCAAACCAAGCCCAAAAATTTTCTAAACATTCTGAAAATTGTTGAGAAACATTTCTCTCGTCAAAACAATATTAAACTTTCGACCAATAAAAAGCAACAATTGAAGGACAATTTTCAAATCATTCTTGTATATAATAGTATACAATAATATACTTAATATTAAAACACTAATTAAAACTGACCTTCCATGTGCTTGAGTGCTTCATCTGCAAATCCAACTGAACTTTAATATTTCACACATCCAAAGATGACAATACGTTGGACTTGATTGGCTTGTACACATTGGTATTTGGTTTTTTCGTCATATAGTTGCAATTGCTGTTGCTTGTAATTTTTTTATAAACCAGTACAGGCTCAGGGCGCTCAGCGATGTAGCGAAATTTCGGGCCGTCTTTCACAACAAATAACATCACAATAGCTGCACGTCTTTTTCTCTTTACTACAGAATTGTTTTCCCTGTCCATTGAGTTCTAATTTCAAAAACTAACCAGTCGTTATAACGTAAAATAAGCGGGTATTTGTGAACAAAAATGCCCTTTGATGAAACGAAGTAACCAGCGCCATCTTGTCTTCTCCAAAACTTACAAATTTTCCCGCCAAAAACTCCCCCGAAGTCCCGTATGTACCTGACGTCACAAGGTCATGGACGGGAGGACTACCATATTTGGTAGTAAAACTAAATCCAATATAATTTTAATCTCTTTCCTTCGCTATTGTTGCTTTCCGCATATTGTTTGACCCAACCACGACTGTAACACAACAATCCAAAGATCGAGCAAACTCACTAAACATTTTGAAAAACAAAAATACAGTATTAAATAAGAATATCGCGACAATCCGAAGTTGTCTGAGCCACTGATAAAGCAATATCGTTACTTCATGTAACCAAGCTTGTTCTGGCTCGGTCAACATACACAGCCGCTCCTTGCGTTATCAACAATATAGTATTGTAATTATCAACAGTTATTAGCAATAAGTTACTGGGTTGTAACCCTAACCCCCACCCTAACCTCTAACCTCCACCCCCTAACCCTAACCCTAAAGTAAAGCTGCTGGGTTAATTTAATGGTCAATTTGATATTTGTTGGAGTGAAATGTGAAATACTGAAAGGGGGGCTTTGAAAAATTACAGAGAGACGAAAGATGGGGGGGCTTTGAAAAGATTTACCAGTTTGAAAACAGTTTTAAAAATGTAACAAAACAACTTAACAACAAATAACAATGTTTATAGACTTTAATATTCATAAATGGAAGTCAAACAAAAAGTCTCTTATGTTCGTAATGGTATAGACTAATTTTAGATCAAGGCCAGATTTTGGTGAAAATAGTGGGGGAGGTGGAAAAAATTTTAGGGGAGGTGCAGCGGTCTAGCTCACAACCCCCATGGAAAGTTAGGGCTTATTGTACAACAGGCCAATATCAACAAGGCGAGGTATGCATGTAGTGTACATATATACCAGTATTAATGAATTACGACTGTATGACTCCAATCTCGATCACCCTTCATTACAATTGCCATAAAGTTTCTTTCAAAACATTGCATTAAAAGGGTACTTGACACTGAGATGAATAGTCTGTGTACAGACTCAGAGGAGGTACGACAAGCAATTAGCGAGTTGTCACGTGAGCTCTGCGACCATTTGTCACTAATGCTGTACAGTGATACGTCACTGTACAGCATAGATATAATAGATATAATAGATATAATATTGACTATAAAATATAGATTTATAGATATAATATTGTGCACTTCAGCACTTTAATGCTTTCTAATTTTATTATCCAATCAGGTGCGTTACTTTAAATAAAACTTATATTATGTAAACAAGGTCAATAGACAATAGACAAGGTCAAGCAAAACAATACAACGAAAT